ATGATCAAAGGTCTAAAGATGCTTGTAAATGAAGCCAGAGGCAGCTTTGTGGGTGCAGAGAACAAAAAAGCACACCCCATTTGTTGCAGGTGTGTGAGAAAACTTTTGTATGTGAATGGGATGGGATTCCTGACATACTGGCTGGTTTACTTTTGTCAAAAGATGTCTTTGGCTTTGTCATCTTCAGATAAAACCAAAAATATTTCTCAGTGGTTCATTTTTATTCAGTTTATACAGCTTGCAATCTTAATCATTTATCTGCAAACTTCTGCTTAAACTGAATGAGTGAGTGGCAGAATGTAATAATAATATCTCTGCTGAAGAAAACAGGACCACAGATTACAGTGTTATTAGTTTTTAGTTATTAGTGCAGAACCATGTTAAGTGTTACATCAATCTTGATAGCTTTTGCTCAGATCATGTAACGACAGTATTTTAAAAAGTGAATTACTTTACATTTCTCTGCTTAGATAGAGCTAACATTCTCTGCATTGTAACAGAACTTCTTCTGGGGAAAGCTCACAGGTTTGGGGTTTTGTCCTTTATCCTCTTTTGATTCCCCCATTGTAGCCTGTGATCAGTATGAGATAAGGAAGCCATTTACCAGCAACCCAGTACTGAGTTCAGCATTGATCAGTACACTTTCAGATACTCCTCTGAGCTTGCAAGATGATGCTTATCAATCTCTCCTGCTGTGGTATTTATAATCAAACACTACAGGTAGTCGAAAGTTTACATCTATAATTCACTATGTTCCTCCATTTGTTGATATGGTCTCTTGCTGCAGATTTCTAAAATCTTCCTAATCTTCCTTTAATTAATTTTTAAAAGAACAGTTGCCCATCTTTCTTTCCATTCTTAAATTTTCAATATTTTTCATGTCCTTGAAAAGATGGGTAGGACATTGCAAATAAAACACACTGGCAAGGCTGCTCTCCGATTTAAACACATGACAATCCTTGTACCATGCCTTGAATCCTATAACACACATATATAAAGTTATGTTTCTTTATGTACTGTCTTAAGCTTACACTTGAAGCTTCTGTGTCATCTATTTAATAACATAGGGATATAACAAAATGCTGGGAGTTATGAAATGCTGACACAGAAAACAACGGTAAGGAATTTTGCACATCTATTTCACACATCTTCAAAAACTGTGGTTTCTCTTTTTCACTGTTTTGGCACAGACTCAGTAATTAAAAGGGTAATGCTTCCAGGAAGGGTGAGTAAATGGAAACTCCAGCTGCGAAGGAAAAGAAAAAAGAACATATTTGATATTACTACAGACCATCCAGCAAAAATCACAAAGCAATCTGGTAGAGACAGAAGACTTCTGTTTCTTTTTCTGAAAAATGTAACGGGCATTCACCCAATGTCCTTTATTGTTTCTTGAGATTTGGATAGGCAGCTTGAGATAACCTCAAACAAGAACTAAATTGTTCATTAGAACTTTGCATAAAAACTTATTTTATCTTTGCATTATACACTACTGATACAAATAATGGAGCTAGTTTGGCAACGAGGAACTGTAATCCTATCAATCTTGGAGGAATGTTCTCTCTTTTATTTGAAATAAATGAAAACTGCACACAGATGTTAGCAACAGTACCTTCTTTCAAATCGAGGACAAAAGAGATAAATCATTATTTGAACCTCAAGTGCCCCTTGCTGCAAGGTGATGAACACCACCTAAACAATGCTATGCCATCATGTGTTAAAATGATTGAGAACTGATGCCACTGGGGATTGCATGCTTGTGATGGTGATGTTATTAAAAAGACAATAAAAAATTCAAATTTCAAACAACCTTTAATGCAAAATACCAGTTCTATAAAGTATTTATTTTGGCTTTCAAAATGCATTGACAAAGAATTATTGTTATAAAGTATTTCCATAATGTCTGTAATGAGGTTCTCAGTAATTAATTTGAACACCATCAGAGCCTTCTTTGGATATTCAAACTGCCTTCAAATTGCCTATGGAGTTTTGCATATGATTTCATCTGAAAACACATAGTGACTAAGAAAACTGGCAATGCTGGCTCTGGAGTTATATATTCCATTTCTACCCATATGCTACTGCTTGTGTGCCGACAAGTACATTACTAACTTTTTTGACCTAAAGTCTTCATTGAACTTCATCTAATTAATGCTGATGTGAGCATTAGTAAACTTGCATTGCATCTGGAGAGTCTCAGCCTTTCAGTCTCAGCCTTGCTAAACAAATGCAAAGCACTGCAATCATATTTTCTTCCATATAATTCTAAAATGTGTGACTTACTTTGCAGACATACTAATTTATGTCTGCATAAAAAGGTGCTTTTTTTTTCTCCCAGGAGATATCAAATGGATTAGTGGAAGTAGGTGTATTCATCTGGGCATAAAAGGTCAAAATACATGCCTTTGCATCCATAACTTTTTAAATTAAGAGCAAGCTGCTCCCAGGTATCACTACTGTCAGTAATATTCTGATAGGTGCATAAATTTTTTGGGGGGAAAACATGGAAATGCTAGTTACAATTTCAGCTATGTCTGTGCTGATTGTGTTGGACTGCCACATTGGAGAAAGGGGACTGTACTGCTAATGAGGTAGGTAAGTCCTCAGCAATTACAATGACACTCTTATAAATATCTGAACTATCAATTACCAATGAAAGCAAACGAGGGCCTTGATGGTATGGAAGAATCCTCTTACAACTATTGAAAACAAAATCATTCATAACAAACAGATCAATTTCTGCTCCTCCTCTCGGCTCAATCAGTAATGTCATAGCAGAGGAGAACTGGGAAAAGGAGGAGCCAAGAGCTGACACTTGATTTCTAAAAATATAATTTAATGTCTTCTTGCAAGTTAAACTAAACAGTAGCATGGTCTGAAGTGCTCGACAGAAGAGACTACATCGAACAAGAAGCAACAAGATGTGCAGAACAAAAGGGGAAAGTCAGAAGAACAAGGATTGGTATGAAGGAAAAGGGGACTAGTTGCAAAGGGCGAAGAGGGACATTTCGTATTAAATATTCCAAATTATGACTTTTTTTAATCCATGAACTTTTGGAAATAAATAATAGCTTAACATTCTATTTAAATGTAATTAAGGCAAAATTATGAAAGACAACTTTTGCTGCTATGACCAAGAGACCAAACAAGAATCTAAAAATTAATGCTTTGCATAAAGGTCCATTGAGCACTTCCTAAATTACAAGTGCTAAGAAATGAAAAGGCACTCTTGCTAAAGACATCCAGCTGTCATCCTAGGTTCGTTTAAGAAATACAAGTAATCTTGAACACTGGCCAGTTTTTTATCCCCTTGTGACATTTCAGTTAAACATTCAGTGGTTTTCATGTTTCAGTTGCATCTAAACAAATCTCCTGGATGTATCAATATTTCATTTTGAAATATAGTAATCTGGAAATGGTTCAACTTGAATTTACTGGGCTATATTTATAGTCTTAATTTTGGTTTAGCATAAACGTTTGTCAGTCTTTTTATTACACACCTGACAATGCCCAGCAGACACACTGAGAGTCCTATTCCTCTACTGCTGTTTAGTAGAGTCTCCTCCACCTGCAGAAAAATCAACTCAAAGTAGGAGGTAGTTCTTGTGTCTACTTCTCAGTCATCTAAATGAGAGATGAATGGTTGGGAGAGAAGTGGGAAATCAAATTCTGCATCTTCAATTTAAAAGTGTTAACTAGCCTAAGACTGCTTAGATTATTTGCAACTGTTATGATATTAGAATCCCTATCAACTGACTCTTTTGCTCCTTTCTTGTCAACCTACTTCATTACATATTCTTCCTGAGCATCTTCCAATCAATCTTCAGGTTTAATTACCATAAGTCAGAAATAAGGATGATTGCAGATGTTGATTCCCAGCATCCTTGGTGACAGGAATATGTCTTTCTTGCTGTTAAAGAGTAATTGAATTGAAAGCCTCTGGGAACGATTAGAACCTGGAGCAGACGCTTGCTGTCCTGAAACCCGTGCTGCCAGGAGGGGGAACCTGCTGCACATCCTTGAGAGGAAGCCAGACGCACAACTACATGAAGCCACAGCAGTCAAAAGTCAAAGGTGTCGGTCACCAGGCCTGCATCTTGTTTGATGCCACTTCAGACGAGTTACAGACTTCCAACTGAGAACAGAAACATGTTCACATAGCTATCTGGCACAAATAATTTTAAAAACCCATCAATATTAAAGGCAAGGGGAAGATTAATGAAGGGAGGATTAAACCTTTCCAAGACCTTGCAAATTACACAAGCTACATGTTGGAGAGTGAACAGAAGGCAGCTTCTGCTTTGTGCCATCCTTCTGTCAGAAGTGGCTGATATACCTGTACGTAAGTAAAGCTCCCTAATTTATGATTTGATGACTATTGACCAAATATTTCAGAAACTTGTTTCAAAAATCCTGCTTTTTAATATAATACCACTGACAGTCTTTAGGCTCACGTGGCTTTGAAGAGGTGCAGTTTTGTTTTCCCCCCGTCTTTTTACATTATAGGGAAGCAATGACACTAAAACACAGGGGCACAACCTTGCACCGTTTTTGTCTGACACCACGGGGCCACCGCAGCACCGGGAACTGCGGAGCGCCCTACACAGGTCCTGTGACGCTACGATTCCCATTTATATCACTGATGCTCAGCACTGAGCCTCGCCAGGCCGCTGTGGAAACCCAGAGCCCTGGAAATCCAGCCGGCCCTCAGTGAGCAAACACTCCCCAAACTGGGGCCGAAGCGAGCACTAATACTACTGCTGTAGCTGTCACCACACACAAGGGCCCCTGAACAGACCCTGCAGACGGAGCCGAGCCCTGATGTCCGGGCTGCTGTGCACAGCGGAGCAGGGACCAGCGTCCCGCCCAGCGGGCTCGGCCGCAATCGCAGCCGCGCTCCCGCCGGGCCATCCCCGCGCACCTCCCAGCGCCGGCCCGTGACGCCGCCAGGCGCCGTCGGGAGCATCCCAGACACCGCCTACATTGCCCGGCAGCCCCGCGGCCCGCGGGAAGTGGCGTCCGGCCGCATCCGGGAGTGCAGATCTGCCGGAGCGTGTTCCGTGCCCGGTGCGGCGCTTGCGGTGGGTCGCGGCGGGGCCGGGAGCGGGAGCTCGGGAGGCGGTGGCTGCGGTCGCCCGTGTCCCGCAAACTGAGGCGCTTCTCTCCCCGCAGGTGCGGCCATGGCGGACTCCACGCAGAACGGGCCCATGCCAGGCGGGGCCGGCGGCGGGGCCGTGGTAAGGAGCTGCCGGAGCTGCCGGGCCTGGGGGCCCGGGCCGGCCGCGGTGCTGCTCCGGCGGCGGGCGGGGGGTCCTGCCGGGGGGACGGCAGCGGGCACCGCTCGCCCCGGTGCGGGCAGGGGCGAGCAGCTTTCGCTTTCCGATCGAAAGCGTGCTGTTGGTGTGCCGCCGCTCTTGAAAATGGCTGAATTGAAAGTAATTCAGTGTGCTAGCATCTGTATTTCACAGAATCATAAAATATATTGAGTTGAAAGGGACCCACAAGAATCACTGAGTCCAGCTCGTTGGCCCTGTACAGGACGCCCCAGAAGTCGCACTGTGTGCCTGAGAGCATTGTCCAAAGGCTTGTACTCTGTCAGGCTGTGACCACTTCCCTGGAGAGCCAGTTCCAATGCACAGACACCCTCTGGGTGAAAAACCTTTTCCTGGTAACCTAACCTAGCCTTGACACAGCTTCATGCCATTTCTGTAGTTACATTGTGCAAGTAAGATACGAAATGGATTATGAAGATGCTTGTAGGTTTCTGATCAATTCCATAGAGATGCACTAGAAATGTTGGGGAAAAGAGGATTCTTCAAAAGCTGGTCCAAATTGGGAAAAAAATACGAAGTCTGTCAGAAGGAAGGAAGCTGTTTAGACTCTGATGCACATAGAGCCAAAAGCATTCTGTCTTTCATTAGAGCCTTTAAGGCACTTTGGCTATATCAGGATTGAGGAGGGTGGTGGTTAGGGAAGAGAGGTGCAGAATTACTGTGAAAAGTTTTCTGCTTTTGCAAGGCCAGGAATATGTAAGCCAAAACAATGCCACTTTCTGTGTAATGTGGTTATGCTAGTTTTACCTGACCCTATATTTTCTCCCCTTCAGTTGGAAGAATTGTGGAGATTTAGCCTCAGGTTTGTGCATTGAATTCTAAAAGAAACCTTGAAGCAAAAGTCAGTCAGGTCTGGAGACCCTACATGATAACATTTGTGAAGCTGACTGTTTAGTGAGGCGTGTTTGGATAGAAAAACTATTTTTCTGGAATTTCTTACCACTGTATTTAATTGTAATGTACAAAGGAACCTCTTGGTTTTGAGGAAGCTGAACTATTTTTGATCTCGCTAGTAACATCATATGAGCCAAGTATTACAGAATAAAAAAAAAAGCTTTCTGCTTCAAGCTATAATTTGTTTATATTTGAGGTTGGAGAAAGATTTGAAATTTAATAGAGTTGGGAAGAATGTTCATTGTATGCAAGTATTAAAATACCAACTTCTGGTGGGGCTGGTATTTTTTTTTTCTTTTTTTTTTTCTTTTCCAATGTAGCAATTTCTGATGGCTAACAAGTTGGATACAGCAATGTGGATTTCCCGCTTGTTCACGGTTTACTGCTCAGCTTTATTTGTCCTGCCTCTTCTAGGGTATGTACTGAAATATAAATATAAATATTATATACTGAAATGTAAATTTATATATTTACAAACAACTAGATTCTCTTTGCACAAAATTGTCTTTTCATGTAAGGTAAATTGCTGTTATTTGGGTTACTTAGATGCTTTTTGTCAGAATAGTTTACAGATTTTAGATTGGTTTAAAACACTTGTAGATGTGTTTGGAAAATGTATTGAAAAAATGTAAAGTAGCAGTAAAAGCATGTTTTTGTGTGTAAATGGAGTATTATATTGAGTTGTCTTAGGCACCTGCAGTAAAGTCAGTGTTAAACAGCCTTTGAGTTATTTTCTGGGAATAGTGCTTATGTACGATAATATAAATAAATACGTCAGGCATTGTTCAGTTGTGATGCAATTCTCGAAGGTAGAGCTTGGTTCACATGGTAACATCTCCTCTGATGATTTGCAGGTTGCACGAAGCAGCAAGCTTTTACCAGCGTGCCTTGCTGGCAAACGCTCTCACCAGTGCCCTCCGACTACACCAAAGGCTACCGCACTTCCAGCTGAGCAGGGCTTTTCTGGCTCAGGCTTTGCTGGAGGACAGCTGCCATTACCTGTTGTACTCCCTTATCTTTGTGAATTCCTACCCTGTTACGAGTATCCTTGTCTTGTGTCATCCTGCTAATGTTTTTAAATATGTTAAAAACATGATTCTTTTCATCACTTTTGCCACGATTTGAAAAGCCTGTTGAACTAGTTTGATATGTTTGCTATTTATAGAACATACTCTGTGTAAAATATGACAGGCTAATGTTGATTGATCCATATTCAGTTTAATCAGCTCTATAATTAGAGCACTGCATTCTCTGTCTACTTAGACTTTCTTTTTTGAGCCTTAAATTTGGGGGATTTTATGACCAGCCTCCAGTGATATTTGGAGAAGATGGTATCTCATTTATTGCCAGTGCAGGGTTTATACATGTCTTCTCACTGTAGTAGACATTCATCATGTAGACAGATAATTATTTAGTAGTAACTTTCTCAGATAAGTTATTAAACTGATAAAAGTCTGCAAAATTTGCTCCTGTGGATTGTCAAAGGTGACATGTCAGAGCTGACATTTCTTAACGCCACATGATATATGCTTAATGTCCTACTCCTAAAATCCTTCTGGCAGGTAAATGTCAACATTCTTGCTCTGTAAAATCAGAATGGCTGGCAACTGCATGTTCTTTGGTAAAGAAATTAATTTTGTAGCATCTTTTAACCAAAGATATGACTACACATATTTCAGTGGTTTTGAGCAGTAAGCTCAGGTGTGCCTTCTGTGCAGAGAGAACACATTTCAGTAGAAATGCACTGCTGTCTAATGGTGTGTGTTATACTTTTGTATACTTGCAGACACCCATATTTTGCAGGTAATAAAAGTGCATAGCAAAGAAGTGTAAGAAGCAGAAGGAAGAGTTATAAATATAGGCCTTAGACTTAGACATATCTTCATCCAGTATAGGTCATTCCAGCCAAACTTTTGCAAAGATCCATCAAGCTGTCACTGGTGTATCATGGAGAAATGAAGCACTTGCACAGCCTGTAATTTTCCTTATGGCTTGCTTCAGTGAGTATTTTTCCAGTTCTGCTGTTCTCTTTGCTTCATGCTGCCACATACACAAAGAAGGTTCTTGATGTAAGTATGATATGTATGTGTTACAATGAATACAGTTAGTATTCTTGGGGTTTATAAACAGGTTTGAGTTGCAGCTCTAGTTTGGTTTTCTTTGGCTGAATTAGAGGAATTAGAGTGAAACTGTAATATAGAATCTCAGCTAATTATTTTTCTCACTAATTATTTTTCTTTAAATGTTTTTCTTTGAAGGAAACAAAATCTGTGGAACAATTAAGTTGAAACTTAAGACATGTCTTTTTCAAGCTAAACCATAGCCTCTGAATTTTATTGTTCTGTTTCAGTAATAAAGTAACAAACTACAGGGTGAGACCAGCAAGCAAAATACTTGTCAGTTGGACTTGCTGCTCAATGCACTGCCTTGTGCATGTCAACATAACTCCAGGCTTTGGTGTTCCTATGAGCTGTCTTGCTACCATGGGCACTTCCTCCTAGTGGACTGAACAAGGCTCATGGCTGTCTCTGTGCAGTTGAACCTAAAATTGGTGGGTGAGGGAATTGCAACATCTGATGCTTTTAGTTGAACTCTGTAAATTATGGAGTTCCAAGCCTCCCATAGTTTTCCTTAGGATATTAATCTCAAAAGTGATGAAGTATTAAAATGTTGAAATGGGTGGTAAATAGCAATTGTTTGCATTTTGTTTTCTCTGTACTTATGGAGATAGATGTAACTTTTATGTTTTCTGTAAATTATTTTTTCTTCTTTAAAGGCACGAAGTTCAAATAGTTTGCCCTTTTTGAGAAATCTCTTAGAGAAACTGAGTGCTAATCAACAGAATATTCTAAAATTCATTGCTTGCAATGAAATTTTCCTGATGCCAGCTACAGTTTTTATGCTCTTCAGGTAAGAATAATGGTAAATATTTAAATAATTAAAAACTTGCTACACAAGACTGCTTATTGCAAATGAGTTCTCTGTGGCTCATAGTACTCCATGTGTATGGTTCTGGCTGACAGAAGCTTGAACTTCAAATAAAATTTGAGTGATTCTTGGGCTTCTTAAGTTGGTGCCTCCTGACATCAAAAGGCATTCACTATGATGTAACTGAGCACCAAAAAACCTTCCCTTTCATAGTGTGGGTGATGAGTCACATGGGAGATTTTCAGGCTTGACACTTGAATTCGCCTACATTTCTATCAGTACATTGTTCAGTAAGTTTAATTTTGGTTTGTTTAGTAGAATATTAAGATCTTCAGCTTCACTGAAAGTGAACTCATTTTTGACAGTTAGATTCCTGAAATTTAAATGGCAAAGTTTCGTTATGCAAAAAGTGTGCAAGCAGGAGTAGGTTGCATTCTCTCCTATGCTGCTTCTGAGCAGTGACCCTTCTGGGTTTTTTTATTCCTTTGATTTTTCTTGCTGTGTTGCCTGTTGAAGTAATTTTAGGGATCTTGAACATGTTGGAATCGTACTGAAGTTGTACAGGAATAATGACCTGCCAGTCACAGAAATTTAGGTCATTGCCTTTTAATATTTGGAGAGGGAATGCAGCCTTTGTTCTATTTAAGTTATAGCATAGTGGGAACATTTCTCATGAGTGGTCTCATAAACAGCATAAAGGAGGCTTTACCTTCTTGGACAGGATGCATAGTTTGTCTTTATCTTTTGATATATCAGCTGAACATTTCAATGCTTCAGCCCTCAAGGATTGCATTGCATCTGAGACCACTCACCAGCTGACAGATACACTCTATCCAGTAACTGAAACTTTCAAGTGCTTTGAACTTAGTATAGCTTTTTTTTTTTCCTTTTCCTCTCTGTGGAGAATGTAGTATGTGAAATATTGCTGCTTGATATGTCGTCTGGTAGATACTGAAGCTTGTAAAAGGTCATATGCCAAACTTAAAAATAATTGAATTGCTAAATGCAGCTATTGTGAGATTTTGTTCTTTAAATGTTGTAGCATATTAAATTGTTTGTCAGTACTGTATAGGTTTCAAGATTTCCTCTTTCTTCCCTCCTGTAGCTCACTTTCACTTTATATTTTTCTTTTGGCCAAAGATGCTGCTAATACTTGAAGGAATTCTACTTACTGGAACTTACCATCATGCCTAAATTCAAACAGAATTTTTCAATAATGTGTTATTTAAAGTGGCTTCAGTCACTAAAACTTAGGGCATTTCTGTGCTTCACTGTGTATGGTTTGTGTGCTATGTTTCCACTATTTCACAGCACAGCTGTGTCAAACAGCAGCTTTGTGAAATACCAAAGCCTAATTTCACTGTAACTGAAATAACTGGATATTAGCTTGACATTATAGTCTCATTATACATCTGTAATTGTCTGCAGTGTGTTCTGAGAAGTTTTGCAAAAGATGCTAGAAATCGGTCCAGATATTCAAAGTGCTGCAATTAGATGGAACAGGGTTACTGTAACTGGAGTGCTTATGTCAGCCAGTTTCTGGGCTTACCAACAAGTGTTTTCTTGCTATGGTGCCCACCATCATTCCTGTAATTCTTTGCACACCACCAGAAATGAGGCATATAGAAACACTTCATAAATATAACATCAATACAAGAACAGCACTTCTTTAACTGCTTCATTGAGCAGTTTTATTCTATAATGTTTCTGCATTTGTAAGTGTATAGTTATGTACTTTTGCTTGTTAGATCTAGATTTTCTGATCCAATATGACCCAAATCTTAACTTGTTTTTGAGCCCATGTAGTTTACTTGCTTTTCTTTAAAATTTTTTCTTAAAAATTCCTTGGGTTTGGTATTCTGTTTTGGATTTTTGCTTGTCACTAGTAAGCTCTAGTGAACTATTCTTTTTCAGTGGACAAGGGAGTCTGCTGCAGCCATTCATCTACTACAGGTTTCTTACATTACGCTACTCCTCTCGGCGAAATCCGTACTGTCGGTAAGTGCTAAATTGATTTTGGAAGTTTGTGTTTAACTGCATGGTGCTTAGGCATTCAGAAACTTCTCATTCTAAAATGAATGCAGAACTCATAATACTCTGTCTGTAAATGGCAGTTATAGAATATGAAATACACCTGGGTGCTAAATAAAACATGGTTGGTTAAAGGTTAGATTTATTTCATATAAGTGATCAGAAAAGTACCACCATTCTTGAATGGTAGCTTTCAGAACATACTTGTGTAATTAAAACTACAGTTTGGGAATAGAAGTCTTTCTTATCAGAGAGATATCCTTATTTTTAGATTCTAGGTAGCACTTAAAAACTTGTGTAATAATGAGAGAAAAAAGTTTCTGTGGATGATCTTAAACATGTTCATTACCATCTTTAGTTAAATTCATAAATAAAGCTAATTGCATTTGAAATAGAACCTTACTGATTTTGACAGTTGGTCAAGCTTTAGACTTTATTGCTTTAGACTTTGAAATCATAAATATTCCTAAAAGTGTTTACTCAGGTGAGTGCTTTTTAGAAATTTTCTTATGAGCATTTCATAGTGTAAGATTTTGTGAACAGACTTTCCAGTCTATTTGATCAGAAAATGGCTTGCTAGAGTGCCAAGAGAGTGGCTTTGGCTGCCACGATATGCAAAGACAAGTATGAGAATCATAAATTTAATTGTCTTCTATTCCCTATTTTTGTAAGAAATCAATTGTTCTGTCCTACCACATATATTTATTTTTAACAACAACAACAACATCTATGAAGTTGCTTTACTACTTTGGTATCTAAAAATAATTTAGGCTGTACAGTACTAAAATTGACATTCAGTAGAACTAGTTTATCCAAAAGCTTCTGCTGGCATTTTTGTAGTTTTAAGGGAAATTGGTGCCAAGGGTTTTATTTCTCATGTCTGTCTTTTAATAGTTGCTTCTGCAGTACAGGGTTCTTGCATATTGCCAAAAAGTAGCACAAACACAATAGCCTCCCAGCTCCTTACACTATTTGTGATAAAGCATTATTCCCTTTTCTCTTTTTTATAGTGCTTGTGTAGCTTTTATAGTCTTTCTTTTTTTTTTTTTTTCTTTTGTTTTTTTTTCTTGAAGCTGGAATTTTTCTGCTGTCTCTAGCTCAGTAACTTCCAGCTGAGGATAGAGTTAGTTAAAATGTTAATGTTTAAAAGTCAAGAATTCTGAAGCTCTTGGAAGCAGTACTGAGTTGGTCTAAGGAATTTAACTTAAAATGTGTGAGTGTGATATTGAGAAGTTAATGAAAAAGATATATGTGGATAGTACTTCTGATAAATGCTGTAGGATTTTAAAACTGATTTTTATCTTTAAATCTGATTTTTCAGGACTCTCTTCACCGAGCTCAGGATTGTTGTTGAACACTTAATAACGAAGCCCTCGTGCCCTGTTTTTGTAAGAAGACTATGCCTCAGTGGCATTTCCTTTATAAGCAGATTGGCACCAACTGTTGCATAGCCAAATTCAGGCACTCGTGTTTTGTGAACATTATGAGCAGCTGGCACTTCTGCTGATGATTGAAAATTCCTGGTTTTACACTGATTTCACTCCAGGCTGTATAAAAATACATAAATGCTTTTCTTGGAGATAATATGAAATTTAGCATATCAAAAACAAATAATAGAAACTTAAATTAACCATGCTGTATTGTTAATTGATGAAAAAAGTAGCTGCATCCTACCTAAAGATGCCCTATCATACGAGTTTGTTGTTTTGTTTTGTTTTTTAAATCAAGAATTGTTTGAGATTGATTGAAAATTATTATAAGAGATCTGTGCTCTCTAGGTTTATGTTAGTTGGAACTATAGCTACTTTAGGATGTCTCCAGTGGATAGCAGTTGATACATATACCTATGCAGTGCACTTTGGACAGTATTCTTCTGCTTACTAAATGTATCTGTAGAACTATTTTGTCCAATTTGCTAGATTCAGTGTGGAAATATGGCTCACTTTGAAGTTAACACAAGGGATTAAAATCTATCCAGCTGACAGAGATAACACTCCTTGGGAAGGAGAGGCTATTTTTATTAATAATACTTTAAAAGAACTCTCCCATGTTTCTACCTTGTGACATGATCTTACGTTATGCTGTTGGAAGAAATACTGTTTTCTTGTCATAACAAGTTGTTTTACCAAGCCAAACTGCTGACCTGTAGGATTTTAAGACTAAGATGCAATGCTTAAACTTTTAACCATGTCTCAAATGAACTAATCAATGTTCATGAAGTAACATTTGCAGTCATTGCAGATTTGATCTCGTGTCCACACATATGTGAGACTGCAGTAATTGAAGCATGTTAGCTTTTTAGAAAATTAATCTGTAGGTGGTACCTCTGTATAAATTGTTATTCCAGTTTCTGAGACCCTCATTGTGATGAGAAGTTTGCATAAAGAATTGCACCTGTTTAGGCAGCTTCTGAAACAAATGGGTGTAGGATTTCTTGGCATAAATCCATCTGATGACTGATCTGAAGCCAGTGTCATGATTACAGAAGTGAATATTAAATTAAGTGCATAAATTAATAACACTGGTTATTCATTCACCCAGCAGCTGAAGGGTAGGTCATGGAAAAATAATACTGTGTGAACACAACTTCTTTCCAGAAATTCAAGGGAAAATATTTGCTGAATTTTCTGTAGTTAGTGTTAGTATTCTAATTGCATAAAGTTAAAGAGCTTTCATTGGCCTTTTGTAAAATTCTGTAGCACTCAAATATTCTTCCACAGTCAGAGAAACTTTATGAGGAAACAGTTTCAAAAACAGTCTTGAAGCAAAGCATTTTGCTGTAACTAAAATATTGAGTTATCTTTTTTGTGGTATGGATATCATTCCAACTTTCCAGTTGTATTAGGTTTTAGATCAGAGCTATGTATTTATGAACTTATTTCATTTTTACTTGCTCAACCTCTTGGTACTGATGAACCAGTTGGTAATTGAATATGATATTCTTTGACTACTTGTCTTGCTCTCTGAATGTGATTAGCTGTTTATAGAATACTTGCACACTGCAGAAGCAACTGCATGCAGTTAATGCTCTACAGCTGCTAAAGACTTGCAATGAGATTGATTATGTGTATATCCTGTAATTTGAGGATTTGATAAAAACTAAAATTTCTACTGCAATAAAAGGAGTGTTAAATGTAACTTGCTAGGCTCTTCAGGCTCATTTTCTCTCTTTAACACAACTTACTGATGCTTGAACCTGGAAGTTGAGCAGAATGCTGTCCTGTGTGTATGTGTGCATGTTCTTATATTCCCACTGCTGCTTCTGAATTGGGATATAATGTCTTGTGCATTTCTAAATTATTTTATAGGGAATTTTTGCCTTCTAAAGTGCAAAAATTTATGACTTTTCCTTCAAAATCTAACCCAAGAATAAGCACTGCAACAATGGTATCTAATCAGAGAAAAATCTAGACCTGCTTACTACTGTTTCAATTTCTCAGCACGATTCTAGACTCTCTGTCATTTTGCATGATGTGTTTTCTGAATGGTGACATCAGATTCTCTTCAGCTGTTGGCACCACTGCCATGTAAAAATGAATTTGGTCATCTAAGTTGATCCCCCATCCTGGAATTGGAAGGCAAATAAATCTATAATTGCAGTAAGCAAAATAACATGTTACTTCTGAGCAAATTTTTGTGGTCTGACTGCTGTTATGGGTGCATTCTACTGTTCCTTAATTGTATGGTGGTACAAAATTAGAGAGGAGTCTAAACTGGATCCAGTGTAATGCAGCTGTAACTGAAGGATGCTAAATAGAGATCCAACTCAATGAATGCAGGAGGAGGATGAACAGGAGTAAGTGAATGACAATGCTGTGAGTAAAGAGTTGGAAGACAGTGCTGTGAAGTAGAACTTAACCAAGAGGAGGAAATTCCATAAAAGGGATTTGATTCGGTTTTGCTAGTAGCATATTCTTAGCTTTGCTTGACAAATGAGCAGCTTGTGGCCTGGTAAAACTTACTTCTCTTATGTGCCGAGAAAACATGGAACAACGTTGTAAGAATAATGTTTAAGCCAAATAAATAGGGCAACTGACCTGTGCTCTGCATCAACTTTGATTTTTACTGTAGCTTTTCAGCTGCCTAAGTGATAACATCGAGTTTCCTCAGTGCTGGCAAAAACATGCTATCCTTGAGCCTGCTTCCTCACCACAGTTTGTGACTGTTTCTATTCTAATGAGTAAATTAAATGTAAAATGCTGGTAGTATCCTGTTAGCTTGAGGGGTTTTTTTTGGTGAAGGGAGCTGTATGTTCATGCTGCTATGCTGTCAACACCTATCTGTGATGCAGAGGCTGTGACAGAAGTCTGTGATTGAGAAATTTTGCAACTGACCATAAAGTGCCTGCCAATCCCAAAATGAAGCAGAGGAGTTTTTGTATTACTGAAAGGTTTCCTACCTAATGTGATAACTGTTTCCACTGGCATAAATCATGCTGCTCATTGCTTTTTGTCTTCTTGGCTTTCGTATGTTAACAGTGTTTGACAGATTCTGTGGGTAGACCAACCCCTTGCTCTGTACGAGCTTTCTGTAGAAGTGATGCTCCAGCTTGACACCTGTCTGTTTTCATATGTAGATAAAGTATCAGGAGCCATTGGGTTTGTTGGAGCAGCTAATGCCAGTTAGGAATTCTTACACACAAAGTAACTCACCAACACATCCATGCTCTCCTTTACTGCCTTTTATTTCATTTTATACAAATATTGTCATTTCTGTGCTGTCAGTTTTATGTTTTGCTCCTTTATTTGATGGGTGTTTAAGTGGAGCAGTATCTGTGAATGTTGTAAGGATTTAAATAAAAATTATTATCATTATGAGCCACTATTTCTTCCAACAGTTTTGGAGCTGCTAACTATGTGTGTGATTGTACTGTCCAAACAAATAACATGGCCAATTATTTTGTACAGTCTGTGTTAGACCCTTTTACCATTAGGCACCTGTATTGCAACATTTGCTGTACAGATGCCGTGTTTATTAAAGGAGTGGAGACATGGAAGGAAGGAGCACTTGCCTGATGTAGGAGTTCTGGCAGAGCAGGAAATAGAAAAGAGTTGGACAAGTGCCCAGATGAAACTGATTTGTTTCTGCTCTACATATAACTTGTTAGTCCTGCTCCTAAAATTATTGTAACTGTGGTCTTAAATACTTTAAAAAGTACTGTACCTTACCTTGCTCAGATAAAAAGTGCTGTACTTTACAGTGCTCAGATTAAGGGTAAAGAAGATAGTGTGCTAGAACAACACGTTCTTTCAAAGTCAAAATTGATTTTCACGTGCAGTGCTAAGTGTGGCCCTTGTATTATCATCTCTGACAAAAAATTAGCATTAGGAGCAGAGTAAGATCCTGAACCCTTAATGTACTAGATGGTAGTAGGGTATGCTAATCTGTTTTAATTGTCTATAATTTTTAATTGCTGTCATACACCTATTTGTGATTAAACTATATATATACACTGAAATCAGTTAGTGTATCTTTATATTGTAACTTCTGTAGTGCTATAATTTTCTTAAAGTCACAGAACAGTCAGGCCTTGCTGTTTTAAATCAGCTTTTAAGGACAGAACCTTAAGCAATTCTTTATTCCAAAGATGGAAAGATATCAGTATGGATAGTGTAATAGAATTTAATCTTGAATGTGGATTCAAAAATCTTTTTCATAAAATCTCAGCATTACTTTTTAACTTCTCTGTAGAAGCTAGCTCTGTGATAATGGCAGATGTTGTGCAGGTAAGGAAGTTTCATTGCTTAGTTCTGTGCCATCCAGATGGTATAAACTTTTAAAATTAATTGAAAAATTCATCTTTTACTTGTATTCAAGGACTGAGGCACAAAATGCTAATGTAAGGGCTCAGAGGGGAAATATAGTTCTCCTGCATATTTGAGAAAATGTGAAGCCCTTTCAAGAAAATCTAATAAACATAATAATCGCAGGCTGCTGACACTAAGGAAAAAGCACCTCATTCGCTCTTTCTTTTATGCAGCGATTTACTGGTCCCCACTGATTTTCAAATTGGATCACTGCATTAAATTATCCATACCAGTACCTGTGAAAGAAAGCACCGGGATCCATATTTGTTCAGTGCTGTGCTTAAATCAGCAAGAATGATAAATTTGATGGTATGAAATTGGAAATACCAAGGGCTTCTCTCAGTGAATGAGCAAGTAGTTCCATTTGTAATTTATTGTGACCCTTTTTCACTGTATGTGCTTTGTATGTCAAATATTTATTTTGAAACAAATTAAATAGTTTTCTGTATTGATACCTATTGTTTTGTTGATGTTCTTGAAATCAAACTGTGTATTGCTTCTGGATTTTAAATATTACCAGTGTGTGTTGCAAAACAGCACTTAAGTTCAAATCTCTGAGTGAGTTTGAGTTACTGACCAACAGCTTTGTGTTAAGTGTTCCAGGTGCATGTTGGGTGTTGTTTTTTTTTGTGTATGTGTTTAGAATAGTGCAGAATGCAGTGAGCTACTGCAGCACCTCATTTACTTTTTCTAGAGAAACAGGAAGATTAAGGTGTATACCAAAACAAAAAAAAAAAAAAGAGCTGATCCCTGCCTTTAATTCTTGGAACTATTCTGCTTTATATCTGGCATAGATAATACCAAGTCCTGTGAAAAAAAAATCTACCTATGTCCCCAGTCTATTGCCATACTTTCAGTGCAGGTGTTAGCAGAGAAATTTGTATACCTGTGTTTTGGCTTGAGGAAACTGCTTTCCCTGAACAAGTGCAGATAATGGTATTTTCATTTGTTATGTGTGTCCCTATGAATATTCACTCATATTACTTTGCCAGTGTTAAAAGTATGTTAGATGAAGATGATGCATCAGTTCTGATATTTCACAGGAAAATGAAACTGAAAATCAGAAATTGTAAAAGATGCAGGACTAGATTATCTGTAAGATTTAAAGCAGTATCAACTATAGTTTTCATGAAAGTAGAAATGCAATAGATAAAGAAGGTAGAAGAATGGGGAGAAAAATAATGAGAACACAGAAAATCACAGAATCATGGAATATACTGAATTGGAAGGGATCAATCAGGACCAATCAGCAAGTCCAGCTCCTGGCCCTACGCAGGACACTCCCAAGAGTCACACCAGTTCTCTGATACAAAGATGTCTGGAAATCCTGCTGGATGCTCTGTTGCTTTCACAAACCCCATTTCACCTTTCATGGTTTCATGCCATCAGTATCCTCTGGATAGTACTTAAATTTCCAAGTAAATGATGTATAATTTATTCTCCATTAAAATACTGTTGAAATAGCCACACTGTACAGGAGCGGACAGTCTAATCTTGATTTACTTAAAATGGAAAACAGCTGCAGTGGAATTATGTGATCTCTTATTATGTTTGAAAGTTCTGCAGTGAAAAAGTAAAGAAAGAAATAATCTGGGCTTCTTGGCCCTTTTTTTTTTTTTTTTCTTCTCTTTCCATGTTGCTTTGCTATATTTTTCTTTGCAATCTGGGGTAAAAACCTTGTATGTGCAATTCATGAGTTTTGTCCTGATGTATGTTTGCATAGAACATGATATAACTTGGTTTTAAGTTATAACACAATGTAACTTAGTATTTTAACACTTTGGGATTTATTTTTTTTAAATCTAGAAAATCTGACCAAATGGATGTCTCCATACTACGATCCCTTTCAACATACTTTCTGCTGTAACAACTTCAGTTATGTTCTGACTAAAGCACAACAAAAATAATTGTGAATCCTTTCAGTGATAAAGTTTAAATCAAAGCCATGGATGAAAAGTTTTTTGTAATGGTAG